TCCTTCTTACATCCCTCCATCTCCAGCTGCTCCTTCTTCAGGTCCGGCTGATTCTCCCCATCACCTCTCTGTTGTCTGCTCCCTCCTCTTCATTCACCTGCTTTCCTCATCTCCTTTTTTCTTTGCCTCCAGTGAAGACACCTGTTGGGTCCCTCTACTCTTCTCTCCTCTGAATCCATCTCCTTAATCCTAATCTGGGTAGCTCTACAAATATCATTGTCAAATCTCTGAAAAAGGATTTGCCCATTCAGGGTGAGCTCAGAAGGCAGAATTAATTCCAATGGTGGACAGAGGAGGTCACTGATAGCATGTGTTGGGGCTCAGACGGCCCTGGGTTCAAATCCTTCCTCCTTCACCTACCATTTGTGAGATATTGGCCTGTCACATATCCTCATCCGTGAAATGCGGACAAAAACACATCCTAGAGTTGAACCAGATTGCTTTTAAAGGTTCTTCCAACCTTGACACTTTATCATTTCAAAGCAACTTCTGCTCAGAACCTTTCAATGATTCCCACCATCTATGAAGTTGAGTGGAGAAACCAGCTCCTCCAGATACTAGTTCTGCCCTACCTTTTATATCTCATCTTTCTCAACTCAACTCATACCTTGCACTGCAGAAACACTTAGCTCTTACATTCCTGCCTGCATATTTTGCTATTCCCTCTGTCTGGAATCCCCTCCAGCATTCTGTAAACAAATACCTCATAAAAATGTGAGGCATTAATACCTCCACCTGTTGAACCCTACTCATCTGTTTTTGTTAGGAGGTCTCTTTTTATTGTAAATTACACACACACACAAAATCCCAACTCAAAATACTCAAACTCTAAAGAGATATTGGTCCATAGAAAAATCCAGAGGTGGGTCAAGCTTCAGGTATGGCTTTATCAGGTCTCTGGCTCATTTTTTCTGCAATATTTTCTCAGTCCTACCCTCCTCTATGTGATGGCTTTGTTCTCTAGCTGACTTCCCTCATGGTGGCTGTGATGGTTAATTTTATGTGTTAACTTGATGGGCCTTAGCCCAGATAGCTGGTAAAACATTTCTGGGTGTGTCTTTGAGGGTGTTTCTGGAAGAGATTAGCATCTGAATTGGTAGACTAAGTAAAGAAAGGCAATGTGGGTGGGCATCATCCAATCTGGTGAAGCCTGAATAGAACAAAAAGACGGATGGGTGAATTTGCTCCTTTGCTTGAGCTGAGACATCCACTTTCTCTTGCCCAGGACATTGGGCATCCGTGCTCCTGGTTCTTGGGCTTTTGGACCTGGACTGAATTATACTATCAGCTTTCCTCATTCTCTAGCTTGCAGATGGTAGATCATGGAACTTCTCAAGCCCACACAACTGTTAACCAATTCCTGTAATAAATCTCTTCTATATACCTAAATATATATTATTGGTTCTGTTTCTTTGGAAAACCCTGACTAATATGGTGGCTAAGGAAAAATTCTGCCGCAACTCTAGGCACCAGACCCTATACCACTCTGCTCAGAAGGCAAAAGGATGTCTCATCCTCATTCTTCGCCTTTACTGGACCAATAGTGGTAGATCTTTAATAATTAGAAGGTAGGACAGTGTAGTGATTCAGCATGCAGGTTCTAAAGTTGGACCCCACCACTTACTAACTGTGTGACCTTGGGAAAGTTAATCTCCGTGCCAGAGCTTCTGTACAATAGGGATTATAACAGTACCTACCTCATAGGGCTGTTGTGGGAATCGGCTTGAAAAGCGCTTAGCAGATTGCCTGGCAACTAGTAAATGCTCCACGTTAGCTAGTGTTGCCAGCACATTTCCTCAGAAACATCTCGCTTTACACTCTAATCTTCAGGGATTCTTCTGGACGATGCAGAGTATTCCTAGCATTTCTTTGTTGAATTCATAGCCATTCATTCAACAAATATTAAATGAGGACTCACTGTTTTGGGTACTGAGGAATGAGCAAAACAGACAAAATCCTATCTTTGTGGTGATCACACTGTAGTGAAAGGTAGGGATGGGAGGGAGACAATAAACATGTAATATTTCAGGTGGCGATAAGTTTTATGGAGAAAAATTCAACAAGAAAGTGTGTGAGGAAGTGCAGAGGAGTGGAGCATTGCTATTTTAAATGTGGGTCACTTCCTCAGAGAGGCCTGAGGAAGTGACATTTGAGCAGAGACCTGAAGGAGGAGTGAGCCATGCCAATACCTGGGAGGAGAGCATTTGAGGCAGACACAAGAGCAAATGCAAAGGCCCTAAGGTTAGCCGTATGCTTGGCATGTCAGGAGAACAGGAGGGAGGCCAATGTGGCTGGAGTAGATTGAGAGGTGGTGAGAGCAATACAATAGGGGATAAGAAGAGTAGGAGGCAGGTCACACAGGACCTTATAGGGCATGAACAGAATCCTGTGTCAGCAGGATGCCAGCAGGGAAGTTTTATAACTGAGGCCATGAACAGGAAGGGATGAGTGCTTCAACTTTCCTGGTGGGGTGGGGGGGCTGACGGGAGGTCAGAGAAGGCCTCTCAGAGGAGGTGGTTCTTGAGCTGAGTGTTGAAGGATGAACAGGAGGCATCTAGGCAGAAGGGAAGGAGCAATCCAAGTGACTTATCAGAGGGTGCTGAGAGATTGTGGTGTATTCAAGCAAACATGGTAAGGCTGGTACACAGAGAGGGAGGTGAGGAGCCAAGGAGTGGCCAGAAACAGAGCAGAGGAGGTTGGGAGGGGCCAGATTCATTTTTTTTTAAATAGATGTATTTATTTATTTATTTATTTATGGCTGCGTTGGGTCTTCGTTGCGGCCCACGGGCTTTCTCTAGTTGCAGTGAGCGGGGGCTGCTCTTCGTTGCGGTGCACGGGCTTCTCATTGCAGTGGCCTCTCGTTGCGGAGCACGGGCTCTAGGCGCGCGGGCTTCAATAGTTGTAGCGCGTGGGCTCAGTAGGTGTGGCTCATGGGCTCTAGAGCGCAGGCTAAGTAGTTGTGGCACACGGGCTTAGTTGCTCCGTGGCATGTGGGATCTTCCCGAACCAGGGCTCGAACCCATGTCCCTTGCATTGGCAGGCAGATTCTTAACCACTGCGCCACCAGGGAAGCCCGGGGCCAGATTCATTAATTGGTTGACTGACTCATTCATCCACTCAAATTTTTACTGAACACTAAGTCTGGTGACACAGTGCTGTACACAACAGTCAAAGATTCCTGGTCTCACAGAACTTACCTTCTAGTGAGGAACATGGGCAAAAACACATAAACAGATCAGTAAATAACAAGACTAAGAAATGCCATGAAGGAAATGAACAAGAGGTCAAACCAGAGAACATCTTTAAGCTGGGTGTTCAGGGAAGGCCTTTCTGAGGAGGTGATATTTAAGCAGAGACCTGAGGCGTTAGA